GTCACCACTCTGGGTAGAGTGGTACCATGGCGTGATACCTCACAGCAACTTCAGACTCCTGGGTTCTAGCAATCTTCTTGCCTCAGCCTTCTGAGTATCTAGGACTATAGACACCCACATGATGCCCAGCTTGTTTTTCTGTCTTTAATAGAGATGGGGTCTTGCTCTTGCTTGGGCCGGCCTCTAACTCCTGAGCTTGAGTAATCCATCCACCTCAGCCTCCCAAGTGCTAGGATAACAGGTGTGAGCCACCACACCCGGCCTGAGTATCAGTTAGTGGGACTCTTCCTAAGTGCTGCCATCTAAGGTAACACAGATTTCACCCCTTCACCCCCATTAAAGAGTATTTATTGAGTCAGGGCACTTCAATACTAGAAATAAAAAGAAGAAGAAGATACAATATAGACTTAAAAGGATTTATAATCTAGTGAGGGAGAAGGTAGACATATATAAATGAATCAAAATCTCTGCTTTCCAATCCTTGAGGAAAGGTGCAATTTTGGATGACTGAGTTTTCTGGATACTGAAGTTTTCTCTCTCTATCATACAAACTTTATTTTAATAATTATTTTAAATTCTTTTTTAAGTTTCAGATTAATAGGGTACAGACGATAAGGTTACAATGTTTGCATTTGCTAGGTAAAGTCCCTGTTGTAGTGTCCTGCACCCAGGAGGTGTGCCATATACACTTACTTTTTGCCCATTGGGCAGAGGAGCACAGTATCCCTCCCTCCCCCTCTCTGTCCCCCCTACACTCCCTCCAACTTGAATTGAATTGAGTTTCCTCTTGTGCAGGCATGTTTTAGTTTGTCTACTGGCTTCATATTATTAATGACTACATTGGAGACTTGCTTGTCTGTTCCTGTGATATTTTATTAAGAAGAATGTGTTTCAACTCTATCCAGGTTAATACAAAAGATATAAAGTCTCCATCTTTTTATGGCTGAATATTTAATAATTTTTGATTGGAAATATTCTCTAAATATGTAATTGCTTTCCCTTATTTATTTTTTTGAGACAGAGTCTCACTATGTTGCCCTCAGTAGGGTGACGTCCCGTCACAGCTCACAGCAACCTCAAACTCTTGGGCTTAAGTGATTTTCTTGCCTCAGCTGTCCAAGTAGCTGGGACTACAGGGTTGTAGTTGTCATTGGTGTTTGGCAGGCCTGGGTCAGATTCGAACCTGTGCCGGATTCAAACTTACCAACTGGTGTATGTGGCTGGTGCCCTAGCCGCTGAGCTACAGGCACTGAGCCTAATTGCCTTCCTTTTAAAATAAAATATTTGGTCGATGACTTAACCTTCTCTCAATGATACAGGATTGTTCTGAGCATATTTCCAAGACCACCCTGCACTACAATAACACATTCAAGGCTTACTGGAAAGACCCTGTGCTAAATGACTGCAAACTTCTGAATTTGTTATCCAGTTGTTCTATCTCTTCTCCTGCTCTTGATTTTTGCTGTTTTCACTGTATTTGCTTTCTTTCTTTTCTTTCTTCTTCTTTTTTTTAGAGATAGAGTCTCATTTTATTGCCCTCAGTAGAATGCAGTGGCATCACACAACTCACAGCAACCTCCAACTTCTAGGCTTGAACAATTCTCTTGCCTCAGCCTCCCAAAGGGACTACAGGCACCTGCCACAATGGCCGGCTATTTTTGTTGTTGTTGTTGTTGTTGTTGCAGTTTGGCTGGGGCCAGGTTTGAACCTGCCACCCTTGGTATGTGGGGCCAGCGCCCTACCCACTGAGCCACAAGCACCACCCTGTATTTGCTTTCTAACAAATCCTTTCTCCTTTTAATATGCTCCTGCCCTTCCACTGTGGGGATGAAAATCAGGAAACGAGGTAAGGGGTCCTCAAACTTTTTAAACAGGGGGCCAGTTCACTGTCCCTCAGGCCGTTGGAGGGCTGGACTGCAGGTCCTGGGACGAGTCAGCTGCTAAGCAGGACAGGCGGTGGTGGCAAAAACACCTGGCGGCCCGCGGGCTGTAGTTTGAGAATGCCTTAGGCTATTGGTTCAGCTCCTATAAAAGAGACCAAACATAGTGACTTTACAAGGTTTATTGTTCTCCCATGGAAAAGTTGGAGGTGGTCAGCATTCTAGAGTACTTCTCCAGGTCGTCATGTGACTCCAGTTACTTGGTGAATCCTAGGGAGTTGTCCTGGTCAGCATCAAGAAAGCTGGCCACTCCCTGACCCATCTTCACAAAGGAGAAAGAGGAAGTGGAGAGAGGCAGCTTCCTTTCAAGGATGTGGCCCAGAAATTAAACATATTGCATACACTCACATTCCACTGGCTAGGACTTAGTTGGTAGCTGCATCTGAGTGCAAGGGGGGCTGTGACGTAGCTAGTAGTTTCTAGTTAGGGTAGTCATGAATCCAGGTTTAACCTTGGGATTGCTACTGCAAAAAAGGAGAGGGAAAGAAAGGCGATGGAGGACTCTTAGCAGTCTACCACCAGCTCTGCTGAAATTATGTGTGGGGTAAATGAAGTTGGACTCTAACTGAAGGCACAAGTGCTCTTCTGCAGAAAAATCACCTGACATTGTGAGACAGTTCCTTCTGTCTGAGTTACTCAGAGTTCTTTTGTTTCACTTATATTGTTCTGGATTAGCTTCCCAGATAAGACATTGGAGGTTAACAATGCAGGCAGAAAGAAATTAACAGGCACAGTCTTTCAGAGTGGACAACCCAGGCCAAAAGCACTTTCATCCCACGCCACACATGTGAGAGCATAAAAATTGTTCTCAGTGACATCGGCCAGAAAGGCCTTTCCTTCAAAAACCTCATTCCTTCATCCTCATATGCCTTTACTAGAACCTTCTAGAAGCCTGAAATCTAGGTGGGTGTTGTTGAGTTGGCTGGGACACCAGTCAGCTTTTTCACCACTGTACAGCCCACTTGACCTTTCTTTAGGTCCTTCTTCCTCTTTTTCTGTATTTTTTTTTTTTTTGTAGAGACAGAGTCTCACTTTATTGCCCTCGGTAGAGTGCTGTGGCGTCACAGCTCACAGCAACCTCCAACTTCTCTGCTTATGTGATTCTCTTGCCTCAGCCTCCTGAGTAGCTGGGACTACAGGCACCTGCCACAACGCCCGGCTATTTTTTGGTTGCAGTTCGACCGGGGCTAGGTTTAGAACCCGCCATCCTCAGTATATGGGGCCAGCACCCTACTCACTGAACCACAGGCGCTGCCTTGTGTCTTTTTTATTGTATGTCCTCCATGCCTGCCAGGGCTATCCTCTAGGAGCTTGGTGGGTTAGGTGTGACTTGACAACAGCTTCTGTGACAAGGAAGCAAAGACAGGACAAACTGCTTTTGTCCAGGTTTGACTCTCTCCACTAGACTGAATAATACCACAACCATAACAACAGCAACAAATAATATTTACAGAGTATTTACTTTGTATACGATATTTCATTTAACCCTGGTAACCATCCTTTAAGGTTATTATAATTTCCCCCATTTTACATATGCAAAAATATGAAACACAGAGAGGTTAAGTCCTATGTTTAGGAGGCCTGGCTGGGACGCAAATCCAGGCAGGTAGAGTCCCTAAATCTATTCTTGTGTTTATCTGGTTTGTCTTTGTATGCACCAGCCCCTCCTGGAAGACAGTAGTGAAAATGCAAGGGCAGAGGTGCCTCAGACTCTGACTAGCCCATCACTCTCAGGATTTACAGATCAGAAAGAACAAAGCCAGAGAGATAAAGCAAGCTACCCAAGACACCACACCATATAACAGCTGAGTCAGAGCTGGAACCCAGACCCCAATGCTCTGCTGCCACTGCACAATATATACATGGTCACATGCCTTCCTGTCCAGGAATGAATAAATAAATGAGTGAGTGGGTGAGTCAGAGGAGAGATCTTGATAGAACCTGTCTAGTGCTCATCCTTGATTTATCGTGTGGTGGCTGGGTCAGAAGAACCGCGGTGTGGAATGATGGGTGGTGGCAGGTGCATGGCAGAAGACATAACCAGCCTGGCAGGGGTGCGTGGAGGAAGCTGCTGTGCAGCTGGTCATGGAGGAATTGACCCATAGCTACCCTTTGACCCCTTCCTCTATTGGGTCATGACCTTGTATTCACAGTTCTTCTTCTATGGCCTTCTTATTATATGGCCAAACCCTAGTGATAAATCTTAATGCTGTAAAACTGTCAAAAGGGAGATTTTAGAGATTGTTCCACAGTGGCTCCTCTTGTATTAGCTATTTATTGTGCTGCAAGTGCCACATATTAATATCTATTAAATAATTGTACTTTGACCCCGCCTGGGAGAGAGAAGCTGTTTAGTACCCTCCCTTACTGACCTTTAGGGGTTTGAACACTAGGTCAAAATCAGTCCCAGGACTTTAATGAAACTCTGAGACTCACAGGAGTGTGGCTTACTGCAAACTGGAAATGACCCAGCTCCAACTCCCTTGGGCGGTGGCCAATTTGTAGATATTTCCTAGGCTGAGGGTGGGGGCAAGAAACCTGGGTACCAATTGAGTACCAGCCACTGCTGGTGCCAGGACCTGGTCCTCGGGCGGGGCAGAGCACTACCTTCATGGGGTTGTGTCTTTTCTTGCTTCTGGCTGGGGAAATTTAGGAAGAATTAGAAAGGGACGGTGCCTCAAAGGAGACCTTGGGAGTGGCGTGCAGGTGTGCAAGGGAGGCGCCGAGGCCTAGAGCATCAGTGAGAGATGCAGCCAACTGCAGCAAGGGACCAGCGGCCTTGTGCGTTTGAGATTGTAATTTGTAGATGGTCCCTAGTAGCGACAAGATCTCTGAGGCGGAGCTTGGGTCTCCGCATTTGATGATCCAGCCCGGGTTCCCCGCGGGTCAGAGCAGCCTTGGGGCGGGGCCAAGGTTGGCTCCTGCTAGGGAGGAGCTGGGATGCCGCTTCCGCGGTGATACGGAGGGGAATTTGCTGACGGTCCCTTGCCAGGTGGGCTGGCTTCGCCAGGCTGGCGAGGAAGACCGGCAGGCAGTCTCCTCCCAGGTAGGAGCGTGTAGCCTGTCACTGCAGCCTAGCGGCCTGAGCTCCTTACCTGGGGCTGGGACCCTGGCGCTGAGGGCGCAGATGTGGTGAGCACGCGGGTGGTGATGGGGCGCAGAACCCGAGTCCTGGGGTGCGGGGCGGGGAAGGATTGCCGGCTTCTGTGCCTTCTCAGACCTCGGACTGGGAGGGATGGGGGTGGGGGAGATTGCGCCACAGTGCCTTGCCACGCTCGCTCGCTGTCCCCAGTGTGTACCCGGGGAAGGGTGGACTGAGCCGCCCACCAGGGAGGGCGTGGCTTAGTAGACCTGTCTTCACCGGATGGGGAAGGATGGAGGAGGGCAGGAGGATTGCCTAGGTGGTCCCCTGCCTCCTGCTTGACAGCCAGGGGGAGTTACCACGGGCTACCCCACCTCCACCCCCAAGAATTGGGGGGACTCTGCCGCCCACTCACTGGGTTGGGTGGGAGGGAGCAGTCTATTCCGCCTTTAGGGGTTATGGCAACGTCACTGCTGCCTCACTGCTGCGCTGCTGCTGGGCAGGCTGTGCTTCTGGGCCCTCGGGGCAGAGGATGCCATCTTTCCCCCCACGTGCTTCCAAAGAAAAGCTCTTGCTTCCAGCTTTACCTTGGCCTTGAAAGAGAAACATTGGGTTTAGATGAAGGCCCTGGGGAAACTGAGGTCCAGGGGTGTGTGGCTTGAGCAAGGTCATTTAGCAGGTCCTACAGAGCTGGCCTTCCAGGCACCGCCTTAGCCTGAGGCTCTCTGGAACTTCTTGCTTTCTAGACCCCCTGGTCCAATCTGACCCCCTCACACACACCTCACACCTAACTCCCTGAGGATGCAGGGAGTTAGGACTTCTGCATATGGCTTCAGGGTGTCATGGGTGTGAACCTTGCAGGGATCAGAATTATCTGGGGACAGAAAATTTGCTCATGAAAAATGGTCATCTGAGCAGAGGAGCTAGAGGCATGTGTTGTCCTCGTAGGTCCAGGGAGAGAATGAGTTGGCTTTGGAAAGAGGAAGGCCCTGGGGGCAGCCCAGTGCCCAACTTCAGCCCCTGTACCAGCCTTGATGGAGGCTAAGTGAAAGTTCCCTGGCTGTCATGGGGAGGGAGGTGCTGAGGGGAACAAAGAGATGGACTTTCTCCTTTAATGGTCTGTGACACTCTAGAAAGAAGGGTCTGGGGAATATATCAGGGGGTGTGCCTGTTCTCAGCCTCACCCTCTGTGTTACCATTGTATCTTGTTCTCTCTCTGACTCCTGTACCCCTGGAGAACTACATGACATTTGATCTGTTGCCCTTAGAAGTGAACTTTTCCTGAATTCATCCTGTTCTCCTTCTCCCCAAGGCAGATGCCTTTCTCTGGAGGGAAATCAAGACAGAAAGAGAGCCTACAGTATTTTAGAGCTGGAGCCGGCCATTTTCAGTGTGCACAAGAGGAAACTGAGATACAGAGGGTGCAGCAAGTTGCTGCAGGTCACCTACCTACATGTAGACCTTGCAAACCCCCCTCCCCAGGCACTTCCAGGCAGACTGAAAGGGCCTTTTCTTCTCACCTCCTGGCTCTGCACAGCCCCAGCCCCAGCAAGGTGAGGCTGTGTGCGCCTCTTGACAGGTGTCAGGGACATTTTCTTTTCCTTTAAGATATGTTTTCTAGTTACTTGGAAAGGAAGCATCTTGAAGAGGGGAAGTGAAGTTATTTGGTGACCTTCTCATCAAGCCCTCACAGGGGTATACAATTTCTCTGGGCCTGTTGGAGCCCAAGAGCAGATGTCCCTCCTGCCCTAGTGCCAGTAGCCATGACCACAGCCAAGGAACAAGGACCCATAGCACAGGCACAGTGTCTCAGGAGGGAAGGTTCGACTAGCACATTATTCCATGTGAAAGGAGTTACTCCATGCCTTGTCCGTGAGTTGATCCTTTTCAGGACACCCTATGAGCATAGAGCCCCTGAAACCAGCTCTGGTGACTTCATAGCATGCCCTGGTCGGCCTGATGATCACCAGGAATTGCTGGGGGGACCTGTGGGGAGGCATAAGGCTCCTAATAAGCCAGATGGGAGCCAGCTGCTTGTGGAGTGGCAGTGCAGTCCATAGAGGAGAGGACCCACCATATTAGTGTAGCCAGCTCCTCTGCTGGGGTCGCTGTGGTCCCAAGAAGCTGGTGGCATGTGTTCCTCCTGGCTAGCAGAGGTAGGCTCAGGCCTCAAAGAGGCCCCTGGGTCATGGAAGGACAACCAGACTTACAGAGCGGAGGACCTGGTTCTGGATCAAGAGCCCCCTATTGGTTGGCACTTTGCACTCAGTTTCCCCACCTGACAGCTGGACATGAAAACACCTTCTCCAGATGGATGGGAGGGCCTTGGAAACTTGCCAAGTGTGTATTACAGATGAGAAGTGTTACTCCTGGACTCTGGTCCAGATTGAAGCCATCTGTTTCCTGCCTCAATAGGGGGAAAGTGGTTGTTCTCTGACCGGAGGACACCCTCTCCCATTGTGACTAGGGCACCATTCTAGGTTTGGAGGGCAGGCCAGCCCTCCTCAACTCACTTCACGTTGTGTTTTGGCCCCTGAGGAGTTCCTTCTCCCCATCCCCAGCTATGATACTTGGCATATTTAACAGGATTCTTGCCCCCATGAAATGCTGGTGTCTAGAGGTACAGTGGCCCTTCCTGCAGGTCTGTGTCACATGGACTCTCTGCTCCAATTCTTCCTGAGAAGTGACTGGTGGAGAAACCATAAGATAATGGGTGTAAAGTGCTGAGCGCTCTTTGCACAGTGTCCAGTTTGCAGGAATCCACATGGCATTCAGGCCACGGGCAGGCTCACACTGGGGAAGTTATAATCAACGTGCTTAGGGAAAGTGCTCAGCTTCCAGTGAGATGAGCAGCTTTTAGTGCCCTGTTTTGCCTGAGGTGGGACCACGGTGCTCTCTCCTCTTCCCTCTCCTGGGGGAGCAGAGAGAGCAGTGGTTTTCGCAGTTTACTCACAGTCAGCGCGGTGGTGTAAATGGAACTCCACATTCTTGCCCAGGAGTTGGCTGGTGCAACTCGTGCAAAGTAGCATTGCAGGAGGAGTGAGATGGAACGTGGGCAGCTCTTGAAGGATGATGGGTCCTTGTTCTAGATCTGTCTGGATTGCTCAGGGCCAACCGAGGGTGGCTCTTAAGAAGAGCAACCTGGAGCCAGAACTCCACGTTCTGTGTTTCTAGGGCAGGATATACACCCAAACTCCGTGCTCTTGCCTGCACCCCTGGGGCTGGGGCTAAGACATGCAAAAGGAGGACAGGAGGGGAGGGAGGCCCCTCTGTCACCTCTGGCATCCTCCTGGTCATTAGTAACATTCCCAAAAAGGAAAGTGAAGTATGGACCCACTAAGAAAACCAGGACTAAGACCCTGGTGTCCTGGGCTCCCACCACCTGCTTCCCCACTCTTCCACGCTACTGTTTCAGAAGAGCACCCACAAGATGAGGTGGGAAAAGCCGGGCTGGGCAGGTGAGCTGTGACCCACCCCTGTGCCTACTCGCCTTTGTTCCTGCCAAGTCAGGGCTTTTGGTGTCCTCAGAGGATCAGAGGCACACAGGCCAGGACAGCTTCCAGTGGGAATTCAAACTGTCCCCTCCCGATTCCTGAGTGGCCTGGCCAAGGAAGGTCCTGGAAATGGGAGCCTTCTCTCTCTGGCTGAATCTTCTCACAATCTTTCCCAGCCAGGGGAACACTGGCCTCAGGCCATGGGGTCCTGATGAAAGAAAAAGGGACCTCAAAGTGTTTACAGATACTGGTGAGCAGGATATGACTGTTAATTGGGATTTTGATGCTGTTTTCTCATTGCCTTGGGTCATCTGAGTGGTGCTCTCACCAGGTCTCTATGGGGAGATCAGCTGTATTATGACGGATGGAGAGTGTGGAGTGTGCAGGACCATCATACATGGACCTACTCTTGGGGACATTTGGGGGCAGAATTCCCATGAGAGGTATGGGAGGAAGCATTTCTTGGTGACTGAGTCTCCCTCCTACCATTGGGTTGTCCTTTTGCCTTCTGTGTGGCCATTGCCCAGGGATCTCTGGGGTGGCTGACCACACTGGCAGTACCAAACAATGCCCCCAAATGGCTGCCCAACAATGTCACCTGCTCCAGGCACTGTTAGGGCTGAGCCATTCCCAGGACCTGGCAGAGGGAGGTCTTCTCAAAAGCAGAGTGTGTGTGGAGGTGTGTGGGGGCGGGGCAGGAATGTCCTTCAGGGCAATGAACAAGCTGTTCTGGACTGGGGACCCCTTGTCAGCTGGGGTGTCAAATGCCCAGGCCTATAAACTAAGCCTGGTTTGGGGAGAACCTTAGGCACCAGAAGGCCAACAACCTCAAAGGTGAGATGGCCTAAGATCCTGGAGCCACTCATGCCACTTGTCATTACTTTTTTTTTTTTTTTTTTTTGCCATTACCTTTTATCTTCTCTATATCTTGGGAGAGAAGTTAATGCAGGTATGAGTAGCCCAGTTGTCAGATAAGAAAGTTGAGGCTCAGAAGTTATGTTAGCCTTAACC